CGGGGCGCGGGTGGGGAACTGCCCTGTGGCGGGGCCCCCAGGGCAGGCCCGAGGCGCGGTTCCGCACCGGCAGGTCCAGCGCCTCCACGCCTCGAGGCATGGCCCGGCCCGGGAGCCGCAGCCGGAGGACACCAAGCGTGGGACGGCTGTACCTGCCTGGGCCCCTGGCACCGGCCCGCGGCTCCTGTGCTCTGTCCCCGGTGCCCAGCGCGGCTGCCCGTGCCGTCGCGGCTCCGGGGTGTCTGCGGGAAGGTAGAGCCGGGGAGAAGCCCTTATAAAGGGAACCGGGCCGTGGGGCGCTGCCGGGAGGCGGCCCCGGCCCTCTCCACAGCGCCCCCGGGCGGCAGGACCCGGCACGCCCTGCCCTCCGCCGCGCCCGCCTTTCCTCGTTTCTTCCCTGACTTCTCGTCCTCTCCTTCACCCTCTCATGCGTTCATTCCTTGTTTCTACATCCATGCATCCATTCGTCCATTTCTTTGGTCATTTCTATCGGGATGCGTTCGGGAAACACTGAGCGCCGAGCCGAGCGTTGGGTAGGTACTGTGTTCACCTGGATGAGAAAGACACGGTCCTCTCTCAGCTCCATCCAGAAGTCAGGCACGTTCTTTCGGGCGAGTTCACTGACCCGGCGTTTCTTTATTCTGAAGTGCACGATCACGACACTTTGTGACAAGGGTCATATTTCGGAGATGTTAGAAGTCCGACGATGGGGCTGGCATGTTAGCACAGTTGGTTAGAGTGCGGTGTTGTAACACCAAGTCAAGGGTTCAGATCCCCGAACTGCCCAGCCGTCCAAAAAAACCAAAAAAATAAACAAACAAAAAAACCCCAAAACAGTGCGACGGTGCGACGGGCGCACAAGGGAAGGACGGACGAATCGCCCTGCGCACCCGTGGGGCAGCTCGAGCGGACCTCCAGTGCGCAGCCGAGCGCAGCGTCCGCGCGGCCCCCCCGGGCGCCCAGGGAGCGCGCAGACCCACAGCGCCCGAGCGGCTGCAGCCGCCGCTGCTCTTCACTCCTGGGGCACGAAAGGAACACGCCTGTGGGAAAAGGGACAAAACAATCGGTCGCCGTTCATGAATCTTATTAGAGATGAGCGTTCCGAGCACATGCCCAAATGTCGTGCTGAGGGTGATGTTCACAAACGGTTTGGGCATGGGCGACAGCCTCTCCCAAAGGAGTCGTACCCTTGCTCTGCACGTGAACCGCAGCAGCAGAGGAAGTCCTGCGTTCTAAGCTATCTGGGTGAGCAAGTGTTTAAAAACTCTCCGGGTTTAGCTAGGGCGAAGAATATTCTGTCAGGTAATTAGTTTAATATGTGTCTCCAGGGAGAAGCAGTTGGCTAAAGCAATGTGTATAAAAGCATACATAGTTGACCCACTTTTAAAAGTCACTTCCAGAGGATTATTAGGCAAAAATGCCTTATTTTAGAGCTCCCTGCATGGGAGGAGCCCACTGAATACACAGGTTAGGTTCTTTAGAGGAAAAGGAGAGGAAACGTTGCAGGGCTGGTCTTGTGGGGAGGATGTGGACTCCGGTGAAGGAAGAAGACACTGACTTGACTGTAGAGTGTTAGAGGTATATTGTAAGAAATTGTATGTAATATAGTTTTTATGCTAAAGGATTTTTTTTAAGCCTTTTAAATTCAAAGAAAAACTGCTATTGAAGGAACAAACCTATTAGCTCCAAAATGCTAGGACTCCACTAAGGGCAACAACCCCTTTAGAAGGGGATTGTAAATTAAGATAAAGTTTTCGTATCAGTAAACTTCTCATTATAAGCGCTTTCTAGAGCTCGGACAATTCTACTGAATAGTTTAGCTTAACAGTGCGTAGTTAAAAAGAAAATTTATTGTTTATTACATTTATTAAGGACATCTACTATGTGCAAAGGCTTTGTGCTTCAAAGGGGCCAGAAGTAATCCTGAGCACCCAGTAGGCACTCAGGCTGATTTACAAATGCTGTCTCACAGAATACTCAGCATTCTGCACACTGTCATCTCCTTTTCGAAATGAGTAAATGGGTTTGAAGAGATTTAAGTTATTTTCCTGAGATTACCCACAGAGTAAGTAGCAGGTCCAAGATTTCTGTTCAGGTCTTTGAGTCTCCTAATCTTTATTCTCACCACATTGCTACACTGATAGACATGATTAATAAACAGTTGCTGCCCTTTAGTAGCTTTCTCCATCTGGAGGAGTTTCTGTAAACAGTTTCTCATCTATAACAACCTACAAACAGTTTCACAGAGTGAAGAGATACATGTTCCTAAATAGCTATAGTCGGTGATGTATATATTATCAGTCAGTATAAAAGTACCATTTAAAAAATAAACGGTAAGCAAATTCATATAGAACACTGTAGATGGATAAATGGTTTCAAAGGGAAGATACAGGGATCTCAAACTTTAATGTTGTACATCAATCACCAGGGGATCTTATTGAAGAACACTGATTCAGTAGGACCTGAGGTTCTGCACCTCTAACGTGAAGATGCTGCCAATGCTGCTGGCCCATGCACCAACCCTTTTTAAAAAAAAAAAAAGATGACAGGTAAGGGGATCTTAACCTTTGACTTGGTTTGTCAGCACCACGCTCTCCCAAGTGAGCCACGGACTGGCCCTCCATGCACCAACTCTTAAGTAGCGAGGTTCTAGGAAATATTTAACCTGAGTGTGTGAGGGAATTGGGGATGGAGAAGGGAGGAGAGTAAGAATGGAAAATAGTTGGAGTCAGATGGCTGAAGGGTTTGAATATTACACATACTAAGAGGTGTGAATTATAGTTTCTAGGCACCTGATCTAACCATTCTCAATTAGTAAATTTAGTTCACAGTGTTAGGCACTAAGTTTTTCACTTTCAAAAAATCGATACTAAGAGGTGTGAATTATAGTTTCTAGGCACCTGATCTAACCATTCTCAATTAGTAAATATAGTTCACAGTGTTAGGCACTAAGTTTTTCACTTTCAAAAAATCGCTTGTTTGTGGTAAAGATCCTGGCTCCTTTCTCACTGGGTAGTAATGGACATTGTCTTGTGCTATGCATCGTTCCTTTCAAACATGTGTGTTCTGTTCTGCATATCACAGTACAAAGTTTTGTGCCCTGTTCTGCATATCATAGTACAAAGTTTTGTGCCCTGACTCAAATTTGTAATGACCAATAACCAAATAACACAAGAATCTTTAGCTCAGTGATGCATTATGATATGGCATTTAACATTTACAAACCAGAGGTCTTGAATCTCTCTAGCAGGTTGCCTTCATGTGAAAGTTTCAGTGATTTACAATGTTAAAAGGGAATTTTTTTTTAAAAAGTGGTCTAGAAAATGTGAGACAGGCTAATAGTAGAAATGCAACAATTTTCTGGGATAGACAAACTAAAACAATACTCATTGTGAAGTCGATGTAAAGAGAAAACAGAATGAAATAGGACAAAAAAAATGGCGCCCTTTATTTACTTATTTTCACATCCTGTCCAATTTTTGTTGATGTGCAAGTAGTCTTTGTATATTCTAGATATTAATCCTTTGCCAGATTTAAACATTGTAAATATCTTCTTCTAGTCTTCATCTATCTCTTAACTTTGTCCATGGTGTTCTTCCTTGGATGGAAATCCTTAATTTTGAAGTTGTGATATCAAAATTAAGGATATTAATCCTTATGGTTTGTTTTTTCATGATCTTCATTAAGAAATTTTTCTCTGCCCTTAAGTCACCAAAATTCTTCTGCATTTCCTATAATATTTTAGTTTTATTCTTCACATCAAATTACTTTGTACTTCAGCTTTACATACGGTGGGAGATATAAAGGCAGCTCAATTTTTCTACATAAAGTAAAGTAATTTTCAGCAAACTATCTTGTAAATCAGGGGTTGGCAACCTTTTTTCTGTACAGAGTCAGATAGTAAATATTTTAGGTTTTGTGGGCTATCTTTTCATCATTGTATTGTCTTTGCTCCTTTATCAAAGATCAGTTGACTATATTTATGTGGTCTATTTCTGGGCCCTCTATTCTTTTCTTTTTGAGGGGTGGCTGGCTGGTAGAGGGATCAAACCCTGGACCTTGGTGTTATCAGCACCATGCTCCAACCAGCTGAGCTAACTGGCCAGCACTCTATCCTTTTATATTGATCTATTTGTTTATCCTTTCACCAGTACCACACTGTCTTGATTACTGTAGCTTTATAATGAGTCTTGACATTGGGTAGTTTCAGTTTTCTGACTTTAGTTCTTCAAAAATTGTGTTGGCTATTCTGGGTCTTTTGCATCTCCATAAAACTTTATAATCAGTTTGTTGATATTCACAAAACAACTTGTATTTTAATTGGGATTACATTGAATCTATAGATCAAGAAGGGAAGAACTGACATCTTGACAATATTGAGCCTTCTTATCCATGAACATGAAACATCTCTCTATTTTGATTTCCTTCATTGGAGTTTTGTGGTTTCATCATATACTCATAGATCTTGTACATATTTTGTTAGATTTATAGTTAAGTATTTCATTTTAGGGGGTACTAATATAAATAGTATTGTGTTTTTAATTTCAAATTCTTTTTTTTTTTTTAAAGATGACCGGTAAGGGGATCTTAACCCTCGACTTGGTGTTGTCAGCCATCCCTCTATAGAATCCGAACCCACCCGTGGCCTTGGTGTTATCAGCACCGCATTCTCCCAAGTGAGCCACAGGCTGGTCCTTTAACTTCAAATTCTGATTGTTTCATTGCTGATATATAGAAAAGTGATTGACTTTTGTGTATTAACCTTGTGCTGTAGATTGGGTGCCCCTCCAACCTAATTGAAGCTTAATCCCTACTGTTAACTTTTGAGGGTGGGAAATCCTATTATGGTAATTGAAAGGTGGAGCCTTGAAGAGGTGGTTAGATTGTAGGACCATGTCATAGTGAATGGATTAAAAATGGTGGTCATGGGTGTGGTTCTGAGGGCTTTAAAAGGAGTGCATGAGGAATTATCTCTCTCTGCTCTGCCATTTTCTGCTATATGAGACCCCTGGGTCACTGTTGCCACCACCAAGCCCCTTACCAGTGTGTTCCCTGGACTTTGGACTTCCCAGCTTCTGAAACTGTAAGCAATAATTTTCATTTTCTTGTAAATCACCCAGTGCAGGAATTTGTTATAAGCAACAGAAACAAACTAATACACCTTGTATCCTACAACCTTGTTATAATTGTTTATTAGTTCCAGGAGTTTTTTCTTTTTAATTCTTTCAGATTTTCTACACAATCATGTCCTCTGCAAACAATGAGTTTTATTCATTCCTTCCCAATCTGTATGCCTTTTCTTATTTTATTGCATTAGCTAGAACTTCCAGTATGATGTTGAAAAGAACTAGTGAGAGGGGACATCCTTGCCTTATTCCTGATTGTAGCAGAAAAACTTATTAAGTTTCTTATCATTAAGTATGATATTAACTATAGTTTTGGGGGGGGGTTTGTAGATGTTCTTTATCAAGTTTAGGAAGTTTCCCTCTATTCCTAGTTTACTGAGAGTTTTTTCATGAATGGGCATTGGATTTTCTCAAATGTTTTTTCTGCATCTATTTATATGATCGCGTGATTTTTTTTCTTCAGCCTGTTCGTGTGATTGATTACATTAAATGATCTTTGAATGTTGAATTATCCCTACTACCTGGAATAAATCCCACTTGGCTGTATTAATTCTTTTTATACACTGTTGGATTTGATTTGCTGCTACTTTGTTGAAGATTTTTGCATTTATATTCATGAGAGATGTTGATCTGTAGTTTTCCTGTTTTTATCTGGTTTTGGTATTAGGGTAATGCTAGCCTCATAGAATGAGCTAGGAAACATTCCCTCTGCTTTTATCTTCTGGAAGAAATTGTAGAGGATTGGTATAATTTCTTCCTTAAATGTTTAATAGAATTCACCAGTGAACCCACGTGGGCCTAGTGCATTGTTTTGGAAGGCTATTGATTATTGATTACATTTCTTTAATAGATTTAGGCTTATTCAGATTGTCTGTTTTCTTGTGTGAATTTCGACAATTGTGTCCTTGAAGGACTTAGTCCATTTCATCTAGGTTTTCAAATTTGTGGGCATAGAGTTTTTCATAATGTTCATTATCCTTTTAATGCCCATGGGACCTGTAGTGATCTTTCCTCTTTTATTTCTAATATTAGTGATTTGTGTTTTTTCTCTTTTTTGTTAGTTAGCTTGGCTAGCGGGTTATTGATTTTATTGATATTTTCAAAGAACCAGCTTTTGGCTTTGTTGATTTTCTCTGTTAATTTCCTGTTTTCAATTCCATTGATTTCTGCTCATTTTTATTTCTTTTTTCCTGCTTACTTGGATTTAATTTGCTCTTTTTCTAGTTTCCCAAGGTGAAAGCTTAAAGGATTGATTTTTTTTTCTTCTTTTCTAATATATGTATTCAATGCTATAAATTTTTCTCATCAGGAGAGAGACATGAGGGCACCAAGCCACTGGCTGTAATTCCACAGAAGAAACATAATGACTTCAGAGCAAAGCAAAACTCCAGGCCCAACACTGGGTTAGTATTTTCATGTTTCCATTCAAGCATTATTGTTAGACTAAAAATCTCACAAGGATTAAAGAAAAGAATTTATCGAATAATAAACATAATTTCAAAATTCACATTGCATTCTAGTAAATTCTAAAAATGATTGTGATACAAATATTAGAACTAAGCCCCCACAAAATACTCACCTAGAGGTTTACATTTTTATTTTTTAAAAGCCACAGGTGATACAAAAATAGCTTATACCTGTTGTAAAACCTTACACTTCAGTACCTGGAGTCATTATTATGATTGTTATTGTGATTAAATAATAAGATTTCAGTGTCTCAAGGCTATCTTCATTTAGCCCTTAAAACAGAACCAGAAATTTAAAAATCAGTTTCCTTAAAAAAAAAAAAAGGGTGTTCTGAGTCTTTTATTGCACATCATTCAATTCACTTCTATTTGAATAAATAATACACAAAACAAATACTCATGTTGTGAATATCCCAGTAATTACCAATCAGCAGTCTACAAGAAGTAGAGAGTATTTTTGTCATTTTAAGGCACACATTTCTCATTTACATTTAAATTTTGAGCATAACTGTTCTCCAACAAATACTCATGTTGTGAATATCCCAGTAATTACCAATCAGCAGTCTACAAGAAGTAGAGCGTATTTTTGTCATTTTAAGGCACACATTTCTCATTTACATTTAAATTTTGAGCATAACTGTTCTCCAAAAAAAAATTTTTTTTTAAAGATGATCAGTAAGGGGATCTTAACCCTTGACTTGGTGTTGTCAGCACCACGCTCTCCCAAGTGAGCCATGGGCTGGCCCCCAAATATTTTTAATGTGAGTTATAGAACCTTGCCCTATGAAACCGCAGCACCCAACCCCAAATTGCTTTGCTACAAGACTTAATGTGCCTATGAAAGTTTTCACAAGGCTGATGAAGTACTAATAAAATAATCATTGTTAGATCAGATATGCATTTGGTATGTGCTTTACTTTAATTTTCGTATATATGTAATATACTCTTTCAACTTTGTACTTTAACACTGAAGGAGAAAAAAAAAGACCTATAAATGAATATTTTAAAACATGATCCTCTCCAGAACTAAAAGCAGCATAATAACAGTTGTCCTTCAGAACCAAATATTGTACTATTAGCTGGTGATGCTTGTTTCTTTCTTATTCTCCTTTAGAGGAGATTTTTTAAATGCGATGATAACTGGACATACATTAACTATCCCCACTCTCTCAGAGATGGATCCCTGAGAGTGGTCCAGGCTAGGGTCACTGAGCTGTCCAAAGTCACTGTCAGTCCCACGATTGTTTTCCATTGATGACATAATTCTCACAGTCAGAATAACTGGAAGCAAGAGTATAAGAGCTAAAGAGGGGCACAGAGAACACAAGCTAAAGCTATGGCAAAATAAACAAGAAAGAATAATAATCCAATAGCTTCCCTCATCAGAATTAAAACAAAACCAGCATAAATCTGCAAAGACATTAAACATTGGTTTTAAAAATATTAACATAGTTCTCAATGAATTATAGCTATCAAAATAGTTTGAACATACTACACCTGATCTCAAAATATCCATATAGTCTGCCAACTCAGCTATACATTATATTTTCCTCTAGAGAGCACAGGTAGAACTGATAGCTACTTTTTACAACAGCAGAATAAAGATACTGGAGGGTCATTGTCCAGTCTGTATTTTCCAGAGTTCGGTAGATCTTTGCACTCTGATATAAATGTATGAAGTTCAGTCTCTGGGAAGCCATCTTGTTGGTAATGCTATACAGAAGAAAAAAAAAAAAAGCTCTTATTAATAAGCCCCTTGAAACAGCCTTATCCCAAATTCAAAATGGATCATTTGGCAAAGGGAGAGGATTTTTCTAGAGAGATATTTTAGTCACTTCCAAGTATTTTCAGGGAGATGTAACCTCTAGAGTCACTCTTAGATTTGGCTTAGGTAAAGTGGGCCTGGGATTCTGCACTGCCCTCCTGGGCTCTTTTCCAGGTCTGCTTCAACCCAAATGGGCATGTTGAGGTTGGGTCTGAGTCCTCTCAGGGAGAATCAAGCCAGCCCCATCCCAAGTATAAGAACGTCTGTCCCCACTCTGCTCTGCAGCACCATGACTTCCTGGCCAGTGTGAAGCAGGCATCTTGCATGGAAACTGGTTCAAGCCGTAAGAAGCTCAACTGATCTAGATTAACAAGGTATTGTTGGGAGCTGAGGAGTGGACATCTCTAGTCTTCCTTGGAAGATCTCAGCACATCCTTGGATGCTCCTGAGCTGGTCCAGGTGCTAGACAAAGATGTGAATGCTGTAAGAGACCTTTCTAACCTGCATGCCCTTTTGGAGTCACTCTTCCAGGCAGACAGGTTTGTTTAAGGGCCTCGGGGTCTTTGATCTCCAAAACATGCCCTGAGCAGAAAGGATTAGAAATAACTTAGCTTGCACATTTGGCAAGTGATCTGAGCCCGTGGAAAGAGGTTAACGTTTCAGGCTTGTGTTATCAAGTGTTGAAAACCCATGTTACTCTTAGAGATCTCAGATGTCACCCTCAAATAACACATCGTTCTCTCCATGCAGAGGTGAAGGTAGTAAACTTTTAGAGTATCATGGGGAGGGATTTGGACAGTAACAACTACATTCTTTCCTAGTCGCCTTGGGACCCTAAGCATACCTCTGCAGAGCAAGTATTGAAGAGAGAGAGGATAGTCAGTACCTGAAATTTCCCACAGTAAGAATGAAGTCACCACCCTGGCTTCATGAGCAATGTATTTGTCATTACCATGGCCTTCTCTATCCCTAGACCAATCATGTGACATCATGTTTCATTACTTGTTTCATACCCAGAAAGAGAAGTCCCCAAGTGAAGTGTCTATGCCAATAGTATACCTAACGATATATATGGTTATTAGAAACTTAAATATATGTGGATATTTACTCTGCCTTTCTATATTTCAAGGGGCTCAAACCAGTTTTTAAAATACAGTATCTCATATGAATGACAATAGCTCTTCAAATCAGTTTTCTGACTGTATAAAGCATACATGGCTGGACCCATCAGTCCCCTCGCTGTTCTGAAGGCCAGGACCCTATAGGTATGCCATGCCAGACCTTGCAAATAATAATGGGTTCATCTACAGCACACTCCAAATGAAGGTGTCCATTTTTCTTTATGAAAATTGGATTTTTAAAGTTACCTACAAAATTTTTGTTTTCTGAAATGCCATCGGTTTTATTGACCCAATACCTACTGATGCTTATAATTCTAATAAAAGGTTATTCTTTATGAAAATTGGATTTTTAAAGTTACCTACAAAATTTTTGTTTTCTGAAATGCCATCAGTTTTATTGACCCAATACCTACTGATGCTTATAATTCTAATAAAAGGTTGGAAAGCTTGCCCAGAAAAGCACAATTACTAAGAGACAAGACTTTCAACATTCTAGAAATTCTATTTCTCCTTTATTTCTGTTTCAGTCTCTAAAATTGAGGTCCTTCTCCATCCTGAAGAAATTAATACCCCATCAACTGTTCTCCCCTCTTAGGTACTAAATTTTATTGCTACTATACAAGTAGTGGAGGTATGCTGCTACATACAGCTCTTGATAAACCTACCTTAATCGTTTCATATGTATCAGTGATGAGTGCAATGAAAAGACTTAAAATCATATATATAAAGAGGCCAATGAATGAGTAGAGGTAAATTCTGCTAAACAGCCAAACCCCGTAACTTTTTTGCTGCATTTTTGCAAATGTGGCAAACATATCATCTCCATTTATCAGAGAGAAAAGGCACTCGGAGACCCTGTTCAGAGAACGGAACTGGAAGGAGAAAAGAGAAAAATTCACTTTATTCCACATTCCTTTCCATTAGAGACCTTTCTTCATGACATCATATTTAAAACAGTGGGACCAGATATCTCATGTTAACCTTTTCAAACAAATATCCTGAGGTAACCACAAGCATTTGCTTTGTGATGCATATAATATGTCAAAGCCTCCTGGTTTTTCCTGGGACAAGCAGCTCTTTCTCGGTGCTCCTCTTACTTGGAGTAGCCTGAGTGGAAGGCAAAGAGGCTGGGTTGCAGCTTCAGTGCTTTTCTGAGCCAATCAAGCCTTACCCTCCTCTTTACTGCATAGAAAGAGATTCCTGAAATGCTTCTACAGAGATACCCAGGTCCCAACTATGCACGCTCACACAGCTCATTTTAAAGTTCATTTCATTTAACATAATGGCATGATATTCAATACTGGTTCTGGTAACAAAATTCTCAATATTTAAGTTTCTCCTTACGCTATTTTTTTAAAAAATTTTTGAGAAGGCTTACCTAAAAAACCTGCTCAAGTGTGTATTGATGAATCAAATTAACTAAAATTGATTTTGCTGGTGGTGAAAGGGGCTTTATTATCTGACATATTCCAAAAATGAATTTGAGGCAGTTGAGTGAATCAATTATTCTCTCAAGTCGAATCAAATTAACTAAAATTGATTTTGCTGGTGGTGAAAGGGGCTTTATTATCTGACATATTCAAAAAATGAATTTGAGGCAGTTGAGTGAATCAATTATTCTCTCAAGTCAGTCATACAAATATGGCAATAGATACACTACCTTCAGCATTTTAAGGCTGATTCACAAAATAAAAGGAATTCACTTACATAGGATAACAAGCCACTGTCACTATTCTAAGCACTTAACAGTAACAGGGAAAAAGTTGTATATCAGTACCTTATCATGGTAAGGCCCCAGCACAATCCATCCACAGAAGCAATAGCCTAAATAAATCATAGCTGCACAACAGCAGAACCTGATGACATTGGGCAATGCGGCCTGAAGGGTCAAAATAAGGAGCTGGGAAAGTAAGAGAGGTCATTAGAGTCCCTTTGTCCTTCAGTCAAAACAGTGCAACAATTTTGAAAGAAAAACCCACAGCATGGAGATCCATGGAATTCCTTACATTGTACTTCTCAAAGAAACCGAGATATCGGATAACTCCAAGCCACACAAGCATGGTAGAAGTCCCGAGAAGTATGCTACAGACATCATAACTTGTTAGACTCTAAGACAGAGAAGGAAAAAGATCAGATTAAATAGCAGAAATTCATTGGGGTAAGAAATATTTACTGAGCTAGCTATGAGTCTGGTACTGTTCCAGGTACTAAGAATAAAGCAGTTAAACAAAATTCTCTGCCCTCATGAAACTTACATTACAGTGTGGAGAGGGAAAATAGAAACAATAGAAATAAATTAATAGAACCTTTGGTACATTAGCTAATGGTAAGTGCTGAAGAGAAGATTCAGGTGAGGGGCATAAGGAAATATGGGAGTGTGTAGAAAGTTCTCTTTTTTTCCTATTGTTTTGTGAAACAGGAAGTAAGCTCATCAGCTGAGTGAGGAGGGGGCAGGGGCATCAGAATTCTCAGACAAGAAAACATGAAATGATCATTTATGAGCCAAGGGAAGTGAGTGATCTAGACAAATATAGAAATATTGTTGGACATCATTAAGGGCTCATTGACATTAATGATAGTTGAGGGTGGTAATAATAAAAGTTAACTGCAAATCTTTCCTTATTCCTATTTTTTTGTTTTGTTTTATTTGGGTTTTTTGGTCCCTAAAGTTAAACGTCTATTCCAATGATATAGACTATAGCCACATATGGTGGCAGCTGCTCAATGTTGATGTAAACCCATTCTCTCCTTCCCATGCACATGCCAGGGGTACATTCCCTGGCTCCCTTTGCATTTAAGATTGACTAAGTTTTCTCCAATGGGATGTAAACAGAAATGTAGTCTGCTACTCTTGAGCAAAGGCTATACAACTGTGGGGGAGCTTCTACCACATTTAGCTTCCCATAGGCTAAAACCTGCTTGTGAGGTGACCCAGTGTGTAGAGAGCACTAACATTTATAAAGCAAATGTATTTCACAGGGCCTAGCCTCAAAGCCCTGTAGTTTCAGGTTTAGCCTAACTTTTTTTTTTTTTTTTCTTTTTTTTTCCCTTTTTGTCTTTTTTACTGACCGGTAACGGGATCGCAACCCTCCTCGGTGTTGTGCCCGTACCGGGGACCAGCAACGGGATCGCAACCCTCGGTGTTGCGCCCGCACCGCGCTCAGCCAGTGAGCAGGAACCGGTCTCCACATGGGATCTGAACCCTCGGCGGGAGCACCGCCGCACTCCCAAGCGGCACACTCTCCAGTGCGCCACTGGGCCGGCCCCTAGCCTAACTTTTAAAATTACATATAGAAATGTTGAGCTTGCAAAAGACAGGAAACTTTCCTCAGGCTAAAGTCTCTGTTGTAGATAAAGAATTTTAACACAGCACAATTGCTGGCTCAAGGACAGACATCCTTGGTGCAGGTTAACCTAAAGTTACTTGATTGTTATGTAAACATACTGAGGAAATTGCTGTAGGAAACGACAGTATTTGCTAAGAACAAGCTTTTGTTGGTGGGGCAACTTATCCTTTTGCAAATTGCATTATGGAAAGTCACTTTGTTATTTCACTGATGTTACGAGCCTCTATTGTTAAACTATACTTAGCCATAACTCCACCTATGTTCCTTTTCTGTAACTTTCTGGCCTGGAGAATAAATATGGAGAAAGAACCCAAGTTCAGGGTTATTTCTCCAAGGAGGAATGCCTCTCTCTTGAGGGTTCCCGGAAAATTAGCCCCTTCAGGGCTTCTCACTGACCCAGAAGAAATGGGCTTTGAGTAATCCTTTGCATCTCTGTCACCCAGGGGAAGAGAGGTGACAGAGAGAGTGTAACAAATGGTGCCCCATGTGAGACTTTCTGGCTCCACGGATTGGAGACCAACCTGCCAAGCCTTGGAAAGGAAAAGGACATCCACTACTCATCCCGTCAAGGGAAGTCCTGGTAAAGGAGACTCACCCTGGTAAAGGGGATCACCAGCGATTCTCGATTAGGGATCCACACCTGTGGCAGGCCAAGTTATGTCTTTTCAACCCCAAAGGTATTTTTTCCTTTTTTTTTACTTTTAAAATATGGATAATTATTAACAAAAGGGGAGACTCAACATACATTACAACTCCAGTGTCTCCTTAAAGAAGCCAGCTGTAAAGTAACTGAACGGCAGCTTGTAAAACTGTTAGTGGTTATTAGACAACTATAATAACCAGGAAGGGAGCCTTGACATAAAAATTGGGGAACAAATTGATCACTGCTTAATTTATACAATGGGTCTTGTCAAGGCTAACAACTTGAAATCTATGTCAAGTTGCTTTGAGACCTATTCAAGCCCTTAACAGAAACATAGACATGTTTATGTCACTGAAAGAGGATATAACTTAATCTTTGCCAGTAACTGAAAAAAATTTTTAATTGGATAATCTAAAGTAAAAAAGGTTAATATTTCTTTGCAATGTTGGTTTTGTTTGAGCATGTTTTCTTTTCTTATCTGCACGATGCTTCTCTTCTTTGCCAAAGATTCTGAGGCTTTATGAGAAAAGCAGCTATGGTGCCAACCAGACCTCCTTTTGGGTCTACTTCTTTTCTCCTAAAAACCCCAACAGTCAAATGGCTTTCATTAGCTCAGCCCTTAAGCTCAGTAACGCATTTGAGAAACAAAAACTAGACTAAAATCTACCTGTTTAACTAGATGGTCTTAAATTTTCTGGCATCCAGCTGGTTATCTTGAACAGACTTCTAAATTTTTTTCTAGGCTCATCTATGTATTTCTTCACAAAATCCTATGGCAGAGTTCTATGCCATTTTCTTAAAAAGAAGAAAACTTTCTCTGCATCTCCTTGAAAAGGCTTGCATACTTTGCTTTACAATGTAAATTTGTTACCTTGCTTTCTCCAAAACAGGTGAGGCCTCACAGATAAGCTTTAACATTCTTTAGAAACACAATTTAAACCTGACTGTCCTTTTAAACTAGTGAGTTCTCTATTTTACCCATCTTCTTATTTTAAACAAAACCTATAAAATCCTTATTGTTTCTGTTTATGTCTACATATATATGTACATAAATGTATGTTATGTCTATGTTTATATCTGTATGTGTATTTGTATTGTCTGCATGGCACCAAATTGGCTTATAATTAATGCATGCTCATTAAATAAATAAGTATACTTTTCAAGTTCATGTGACTTTAATTTTCTAAAGTTTTGATAAAATAAATATATCTTCAAAATTTTATTTAAACCTTTTACCTAAATCTGTCTCTAGGTCAATACGCCTCTTCCTTATCCCAGTTCTGCCTCCTGGCCATGCTGGGAGAAACAATATCTTTTAGACATTGTCTTCGTGAATGCTGCCCTCTGTCTTAAGCTCCACATGGCCCTAAATACCACGTGGATACCTGGAACCCAAAATGGCTAGTGAAAGGAAGCCTATGCCCAATATCTCAAAGGCCCTAGTTAACATTATCTGATAAGGGTATAGATTTAATACACCAAGTTTTTGTCTGGGAAACCATAAATATTTATTTGGTAAAAATAGCTGAGGCTCAAACTGGGCTTTGAGTAATTTGCTCTGATAAATGGACCCCTATTTACTAACCTGAATGTATAAAAAATGTTCTTATCAGCACACATCTTTGCATGGGTTTACTAATCATACAGGATTACATTTGTCTTTGGTAGAGGTCTTTTAAGTTGTAAACCCTGCCGAAACCAGAAAAACCTTAATATATAAATTTTAGACAAATCAGGTCAATTTAACATTGATAGAGAAAAAACAAGTATGTAAAAAAGAGGTGTTTTAAAGAAAACAATGGATATAAAAATGTGTTTATGGTTTAAAAAGCTAAAAAGAAAAGAAAATAATTTTTATGTGAGAAAACATCTGGTACAGTGTATTTTTGTCTTAAAGTAAAATGACCAGATATTTAGGAAGTAGGAAGTATAGAACAATAACTGAAAGTCTGGATAAGTTGTGATAATGGTTTGTACAGGCTAATTTGTAAAAATAAAAAAGAAAAAATTTTTAAAAATTGGCTAATATTAAAAACAAATTATAAGTTTTTCTAAAAATTAATATCAAAAGTATTCTGTTACAGATTTAGAGTCTGCTCTCCTGAGTTGGAACAACGAGATTTCCTGAAAGCACTTAACTGCTCTTAATAGAAAATTGTAAAAGGTTTTCTTTATCTTTTAGATAACTGGCCTAGGAAACTTATTTCATGTTTTATCATGATAATTTCTTGTGCTCTCTGCCTTTGAAATCCTTTGTCACTGTGGTTTTATTTTTGTAGTGATTTGTGATCTTATTCAACTAAGTGTTTTAAGCCTTTGTTATTTGACAGACTTTCCAAAACCAAAGTCTGAAAATTCAACCTTTTAACTTAAACTAACTTTGAGGGGGTCCAAGGGCCCTGGAGCTTCTCAAAGGATATATAAGAGATATATCAAAACTAACTGGCTTATTTGATAAATTAGACTATATGGGAAAGCATTGTCAGTATTGAGATGTTATTAATTTGTGTTCCAAAATTTGTAAGGTTCTTGGAAATTAAGGTTCTTGGAAATCTGTGTCTAGATATAATGCTACCAGTCATAATCTTGGTTCAATTATAATTTTAAAATGTTATGTCTTCAAATATTTCATGAAAAAACTCTGATAGGTACAGTTTCCTGACAAACTTTGAATTCATAACATTAAACTAAATTTCCAAAATTCTAATGAAGAAACTGATGGGTTTATGAAGTTACTCACCAAGGTCGAAACAACAAAAGTTAATTAATGAACTGATTAAAAAGAATTATGGGTTTTTACAATTTCCTTATTTTAAAACACTGCTGGTTCTCTTAATGTTTTGTTCTCCAAATTTAAGAAAACTCTCTGTCTTAAGCTATCTATAACTGACAACAGTTTGTAAAATATCATTTAAAACAGATATAAAAGCATTTGTTTTCTCTATTCAATTCCCCCAAATTTAATAACTTTAAGTATCTTTATGATTATTATAACAATGTGGCTATTTTCATAATTTCAATAAAATTTAACTCTCTCTTCATAAAAGGATATAATTTAAAACTTTGGTTATAAGACGGCATGTCTCTTCTAAGTTCCTGACCCCTCTTCATGTTGCCCTAATTTGGCCTATCTGCTGCTTCATCTTGCTGTTTCATCTCTGCCCCCCTCCCCAACATGGGACATGACAACCTGGGAATGAGCCTTCCCAGTGCTGAGGGATCTATACAAAGAAAAGTAAAACCTTTTCAATCAAAATATTGATCATCAATGCTTTTATGAGGAATGCTTTGATCATAAAGGGGGAAATAATATCTTGTCTACACAAGCAGTTCTCTAAAGTTTCTCAGCTTTAAAGAGGGTGCCTATGACTTGGATGAGACATCCTGTTCTTAAACAAAAGATTTATAATTGATCAAAAAATTTTACAAAGATTAGATGCTTTGGAAGCAGTGATGTCCTGGATGGGTGAACATCAACAAACTCTCTGGACTCAAAATCAATTATTACATGAAACAGAACCCCATTCCAGAGTTTTGACAACTGGTAACTGCACCCCAATTCACAGCACCAGGAATGATGCCAATGCAACAGCTCTGAGAGACGATGACATCATCAGTTCCCACCTGGGATAAATTAAAAAGGACTTGCCATGCTAAATGATACTAACTTTGCTTTAAATGTTTTTGTCTTAACTGTAAAGCCTTGATCTATAGCTTTTGTTCTTTCTTATTCATTAAATAAATAAAAGGGGGGAAATGTAGACTGCACTAACATTTATAAAGCAAATGTATTTCACAGTGCCTAGCCTAGCTTCCAAAGCCCTGTAGTTTCAGGTTTAGCCTAACTTTTAAAATTACATATAGAAATGTTAAGCTTACAAAAGACAGGAAACTTTCCTCAGACTAAAGTCTCTGTTGTAGATAAAGAATTGTAACACAGCAAAATTGCTGGCTCAAGGACAGACATCCTTGGTGCAGGTTAACCTAAAGTTACTTGATTGTTATGTAAACATACTGAGGAAATTGCTATAGGAAAAGAGTATTTGCTAAGAACAAGCTTTTGTTGGTGGAGCCACTTAATCTTTTGCAAATTGCATTATGGAATGTCACTTTGTTATTTTGCTGATGTTACCAGCCTCTATTGTTAAACTATACTTAGCCATAACTCCACCTCTTTTCTTTTCTGTAACTTTCTGGCCTGAAGAATAATTACTGAGAAAGAACCCCAGTTCAGGGTTAATTTTCCAAGGAGGAATGACTCTCTCTTGAGGATTTCTGGAAAGTTAACCCCTTTGGGGCTTCTCACTGCTCAGAAGAAATGTGCTTTGAGTAATCCTTTGTGTTTCTGTCTCCCTGGGGGGGAGGTGACACCAGTGTCAATCATGCAGTCAGGGCAAGCCCTTAAGGGCTGGCAAAGAAACAAAATGGGAGGAGCCTTGGTCTCTGAATAACTGTGTGGAGCTGAGCTACTCACCAACCTGCAAAATCTACTTTGACTATTACATGAGAGAGAAATAAGTTCCTATCCTATCTGAGTCATTGTATTTGTAGTCTCTGCCCGGGCTTATAATCAGTTCCTCAAGTGATTCATAGTTGCATCAAGACTAGTAAAACATAACTTTGAGCAAGATTAGTTTGAACAATGTTATTTATTTATTTTTTGTCCTTTTTGAGACCAGCCACACCACACTCAGCCAGTGAGCACACCGGTCATCCCCATACAGGATCCGAACCCGCGGCGGGAGCGCCGCTGCGCTCCCAGCACTGCACTCTCCCGAGTGCACCACGGGCTCGGCCCAAACAATGTTATTTTTTAATTCAATTTTTATTTTGGGGGGGAGTGTTGATTCATAGGCTAAGTTAGTCTTAACTTAAAATGGATAACCTTATAGCACATTGATGGGAAAAGTGAGAAAATGAGAGCATTCTCACTTCAAACAGAGAGGCAAAAAACGCAACCACTCACAACTGTACCTGGACCTCACTCTACTCTCCAGCCCCACTCTTTTTTGTTGTTGAAGATTCTAGCATTTCTTGTAAGATTAAAAAACGCACACACACAAACGAAGACAAAAAACTCTTACCTTAGTTACCTTGTGTATGTATGAATTTTGGTGTGTGTAAGAATTCTCAGGCCCCACCTGAAGAGTTTGGATTCAGTAGGTCTAACATGAGTCATTTTTACCAGGTACTCAAATGATTCTGATGCAGGGGTTTGTGAAGCACACTTTGAAAAACTCTGCCTAAGAGACTTCCTGACTAGGTTTAAGAAAACTGTTGTTATCGATTTCAAGTTTACTTGATAAAGTTTGGAAGAAATCATTTACTTGGAACATTCTCACTTTCTAGAAAAATACATTACCATTAATCCATATCTGATACTAAGGATGGCATGAGTAGGAAAAAAATTTACCTTAGCTTGGATTTCCATTTTCAGAATTGATCCAATGATTGTCAATATATCACTAATAATAATCATAATATACCATCCATTGACAAATTCCATTTGATCCGAAACAGAAACTTCCTTCTTATAATGGAGGAGGAAAAAATTGACAAATTCCTTTAGAGAAAAGAGGAGAGGCACAGTGAATTTCTGTCAATCAAAATGTCAGCAGCATTTCTAGAAAACAACAACCCCTACCTGCTGAAGCTGAAGTCCTCTAATCACAGATCTAACGCAGAGGATTAATGAAGCCAAGCAAGTCAGAATGACAAAGGCATCAAAGATCATCATATAATGAGTGTTCTTCTGAACTGGAAGGAGAGAGGATTATTAGTACTTACATGGTGGGACATTAATATGGTGACATCTACTTATTTTTAGAATAATTTAGATAATGCAAGCATTCTTTCCAGAGAGACAACAAAGAATCCCTGATAAACATTCTTCCATTTAGTATTTAAAGAAGGTTAAAAGTCCTTCTTTTAATAATCACCAAAACCACCAATTTAAGATCTTTAAGTACTAGCTAATGGTCTTTTGTTCTTAATACAATTAGCCTCCCTGCATATTCTGTTAAAATCTGCTTATCTAGGTATAAAATATGTATTAGGCACCTACTATGTGCCAGGCATTTACTAGATGCCAGGATACCGTAGTGAATAAAATAGACAACTTGTGGAACTTCTATTCTACTGCAGTGAGACAAACGAAGAAGTAAACAAGTATATGAACAAAATACTTTCAGATAGGAGTAAGTGATATAAAGAAAATTAAAAAAAAATTTTTTTGGAAGCTGGCCGCTAAGGGGATCTGAAGGAAATAAATAATAATAGCTAACATGTATTGAGTACATTTCTTGCCAGGCATAGTTTCAAGCACTTTATATATATATTTTAACTGATTTGGAGGTGGGCTTCATTATCCCCATTTTGCAGGTGAGAGAACTGAAGCACAGAGAGGTCGCATGATTTGCCCAAGGTGACACAGCCAGTCAGTGGCAGAGTCAGGATTCAAATCTTTGCAGTCTATTTCCAGCGCCTGCCACTCTGTATCAGTGGTTCTGGGCTTCCCTTGGGAACTTGTTAGAAATGCACCTTCTCAGGTCCTACCCCAACCCACTGAGTCTATATGAGGGAGGTTGGTGTTGGGGAATGGTAAAAACAGAATTTTGTTTATATCACATAGTAAAGGCTGGCCTCACTGAGGAGGCAGTAGGTTTAGCCGAGACTTGAGTAAGGAAAAAGAGCCACCCTCACAGAGATTCTGGAGAACTGAAAGTGTAAAGTCCTGGCTGGCATGAGTGGAGCCAGTGAAGAGAGGTGGGCAAGGCCTCAGCCATCACATGCTCCGCTACAGAGCTTGTCTCTACTTAAGTTAGACTGCTCTATACCTATAAAAAGATAAAGTACTTAGGATTAGCTCTATAATGATGCATCCCATTAATTTTTGCCAAGAGGCCACTAATTGCTATGCAAATGTCTAAATCTACTTTAGAAAAATTTAAAAACCCAGAAACAAAACTTTGAAAGAAAGCCCATGTACTGGGCACTTTCATGCGCTCTCATTTTCCTTATTCTAAAGTTTGGGGAGAATTTAAGTGTTTATAGAAGGCAAAAAGGCTTGTGTTTCAAATAAACTAGTTTATGATTGAATAAAAGTTTGTGATTTGAGGGCCTCATACTCATACATTTGAAGTTACCTCTTAGAGAAAAGAATGCTACAGTGAAGTAACTTCATTTTATTTACTCTTACTATCTCATTATTACTTCTTTTTTTTTTTTCCTTTTTGTCTTTTTCATGTCTGGCAACGGATCGCAACCCTCAGTGTCGCGCCCGTACCGGACCGGGACTGGCAACGGAGTTGCAACCCTCGGTGCTGCGCCCACACCTCGCTCAGCCAGTGAGTGGGAACCAGTCTGTATGTGGGATCCGAACCCTCGGTGGGAGTGCTGCCACACTCCCAAGTGGCGCACTGTAGCAGTGCACCACCGGGCCAGCCCCTCATTATTACTTCTGAACTTGGCAAATCAACCAGTAGGAAACCCTGAAACAGTGATTATCCAAATACAGTCCAAATAAGGCATATCTACACCTTCCTAAGCCCCACCCCAGGCCTAATGACTGTCTTGCATGGAGCTGGGGAAAATGCACCTTAACAGGTACCCAGAATGATTCTTCTGCTCACCAGAATCTGAGAACCCCTGACCTAATCATTAAGTCCAGTGCAACATACCATTATGTTACTTATGAGGGACTAGAAAATGAGATAGATAAATTCTTTCTAGTCAATTTACTCCAGTTCAGCTTCAAAATTTTTGACAGTACTCAGTCTACACCTGAATTCTTGTCCATATATCTAAGAATAGACCCTTTCCTCATTTTGTTTACTTTTTAACCTAGATGAGAGATGTTATAATGTGTGAGATGCTTCAGGGTCAAATCCTAGCTGACTTCTTCCTGGCTGTATGACCATAGGTGCAAAGTGTCACTTCTGAGCCTCAGTTTTTTCATCTGTAAAAGTAAGGACTCTGCCCATCTTGAGGATATTTTAAAATATTAAAATGAGGGAGATGAAAGTGAAGTACTTAAGCAGTAGCACTCAGTCAATATTGGTTTGGGTCTAGGTAGGTTTTGGTGGAGACTGTATAGTCTCAGTAAGAAGTGGGCAACTGAGGGCACATGGAGAAGCTAAAGAAGGTCATTTCAGTTACTAATGATTTATGTATTGCCTGGAATATCAGATATCTACAACGTATTGATCTAATCGCAGAGAATTAGGGATGTTTCACATATCATGGGGGCAATAATTTAATACTTCATAACTGTTTGAAAACCAGTAAAGCTCATTACTTACTTGATCCAGATACATGCCATTCTTTACATTCTCTGATGGAAATGTCATCATCTAAACTTATTTTAATTCTTCCACTATGGGCCCTGTTGTCAAATGTTATCTGTGAAGACAGGAAGAGGGTCAAAAACATACCTGTAATTAACCTAAGTGTCTGTCAACAGATGAATGGATAAAGAAAATGTGGTAAATATACACAATGGAATAATATTCAGCCATAAAAAAAAATAAAATCCTGTGTCATTCACAGCAACATGGATGAGCTTGGAGGACATTACATTATGTGAAGTAAGTCAGGCACAGAAAGATAAACACCGCATGTTCTCAC